GCCACGGGGCCGAAATCATGCCCGGCGGTGGGGATTCATCGGAGAACGGCGCGTCTCTCTGACGCTCTGAGCACGTGCGTGAATATCCCACTGGATCGTCAATGCAGCCCCCTAGAAGGTTCACCTGGCGGTGGGCCGTGCCATGATGGATTTCTCCTGGCCCGAGAAACGGTCGAACGGGACATCTTCCTCCGGCGATGCTTGAAGTTCGCCAGCCGCGGGAGCGATGGAATTGCTCTCGTCGACGAAGGTGGTGCTGCGGGGCCGTCGCACGTACCCGCGCTGTCGACACACATACGGAGCTCAACGTCGTCTACTGAGAAGGAGCTACTATGCAGGTGGCTGTCGGTGAGCACCAAGGGCTTTGAGTAGGCTCCGCCAGTGCGAATATATCGTGGGTGGCGTGCTGAGCTCTGCTAACGTGGGCAACGCCATGTGGGCGCCCAGCGTGGAGCGCGAGGTCGAAGCGCACCCCCGTGGCGAGACAATCGAACACACATTTTCCCATCGGGCGCCGCCTCCGCGAGTGGTTCGTCCAGGTGGTGGGCGTGTTCCACCTGTATGGCGAACGCTGCGCTGACGTCGCTGATGATAGCGTGCGGAACTGCTCCGGAGCTGGCTGGGCGGCCCCAGTGCGCTCGCCACGGTGCCGGGCCACGGTGGGCCGGCACCTCCCAAGCTTACGTCCAGAGGGACGCAACGGAGGAGGCGCTGGTCCGCGGGCAGCTCTCCTTCGCCTGCGCAGAGACGCGGGTTTGGGATTTGGATTGGACGGTCCTGGCACTCCCCCCGCGCGCCGCATGCCTCTGCGCTTGGGCGAACAAACGCGGGGCCCCGTCCGGGAGCGTCTTGGTCGCCTTTCCGGCCCAGCCATCCGCGCCCCTCCGCTCGGATAGCAGGGCGGGCGCGGATGCCATGGGCGAGGCCCTCGTCGGCGGGGGCAGAGGGCCGAGCAGGGGCAGGCACGGGGAGTTCCTGGTCTCACTCCGTCTTGAACGCCTCCCGCGCAGGGATGGGCTCGTCGGCCCTGGCCCCAGCGCTGCGGCATCGCCCGAAAATTGGCTCCCAGGTGCCCGTCGTGAGTTCGATTCTGGATTTAGTGTCGGCGAAGAAGCTGTTCGGTTTACCTAGGGGGGCGGAGGCCCGGCAGTCCGAGCCCCCCGAGATCTCTGATGCAGAGTTGGAAGGGGGCGTCGGCGGATGCGTCGTCGTGGTGTTATGGTGGGTCTGGTGGCCTTGCATGTGGCACTGCCGTGCCTCGTGCCGTTAAGGTCTCGCCCCAGGGCCCTTCGCCCCCGCGAGGGCTGGCCCTCGCGTCGGCGGCGCGCGGGGGGCCATTTGCGCGGCGCGCGCGGGCGACAGGCGCTGGCTTCGCCCCCAGCGCTGGCCCGCTGGAGTTCGGCCCTGCCACCAACCTTGGATCGCAGTCCGTTGCGCCGTGCAGGCAGACGGGCGCCTCAGTCGCGCTCGCTGCGCCGTTGATGCTCGGCTTCGGTGGATGCCGCGCGGCTGCCCAGCTGGAGGTCGGGGGGCAGCTCGCCCGGGCCCCGCGCGCGCGGGGACTCCGCGAGGCAAGCTGGTCGACGCCAGTGGGCCAATCTGTCGGCGGTCACCCAAGGGAACTCGGCTCTGCCCCGCGTCTGGGCACGGCTGGCGCCGCGCCTTTTCCTGGCGAGCCTGGCGGCATACCAGACGGGCTTGGGCGCGCGTGGCGGTGGTGGTGGTGGTGGTGTGGGGGGGGGGGGCGTCGGGGCATGTCCATCGCGGGCGTCTCTCGGTTTGTCCCTGAAGCTCGGCGATGGGCAATGCCTGGCCGTCTTGCCCCATCGGGGTCGAGAGGGCCGCCCTGGGCTTTGGCCTGGCCCCCTGGTCGGAGCTGCGCCTGGGTCGAGTTTGGGTCGGCCCCCTGGGAAGGGGGGGGGCGGCTTGAGTCTGGCGCGCGCGGGCGCGGCTTTGTCGGTGGCTTCGGTCGGCGCGCGCGCGGTGGCATTGGCGCGGCCTTGTATGGGATGCCTTCAGGATTGAATCTCTGCGCGTGGTCGCCTTGAGCTGCTTTCTTGTTGGCGTCGCCCAGTGCGCGTGCGCGTCCTTCGACGCTCTCTGACCCTGGCGGTTCAGGGCTCGGCCTCTTGCCCGCTGCCTCATCTTGGCGGCGGCGGCGATGGCAGTCTGGACAAGATGGAGCGTCCGAAGGCGATTCGCACCTCTGCGACGCATGACATCTAAGAGCTGGTGCTCCGCATGGGGATGTCGGTGGGGACGGGAGGATGACGGCCCAGCGCGGGGAGCTAGTGAGCTCGGTCGGACGGACGGTCGGGCGCGGTTGGTCCCTGGCCTCCCTGTCCTGTCGGGACGTAGCCGTGACAGCAGCTTGTCGGCCCTTCTCACCTGGTGGTGGCATGTATATTATGGCGTCGGCGCCGCGTAGACCTGGTGGCGCGTTTGCGCATTCGTTGGAACCCACCGTGCTGCTCCCACGTGCTGTTCCCGCCTGCTGGTGATTGGGCGCTGGCCGCGTCGGTTGTCGCGGTGCTGCTGCAGTCACCTTGTTTGCTCTGGT